GAGTTTCATTGTCTAAAAGGTAGGATAGTTTTTTCGGTGCATTCAGGAGATTATCTCGAGTAACTCTTTAATGGACGAACAGTCCAACACTACCTGGCTGCTGCAACTAGGAGGATGAGTTTAATACATATGGATCTATTAAAATAATGAATTTATTAACATCTTTAGCTCCTACTCTGATACGATATTTCGTAACAGTTGAAAACTAGATATTTACAACCTCACCAGGCATCATCCATTAATAAATGTGCTATAATCCGAGAAGTTAATAATGAATGTACGTCTTTGATTTAATTATGGACCTCCTATAAGTTTTGTGTTTGACATATTGCACATATTAGGCTTAATTATATTTGATTGTCTAAATTTCAAAGATGGTAAGATTTGTGGCGGATTATCCAATTAAATGACATATTTTACTGTTTGGGACTACAACAGTCTAATATCTTGTATTTCATCCTTGAGTTTAGAAGTTGATTTTACTGACGGATGGACAAATAATTCTTCTAAATCAATTAACTTACCTGCTTCTGATTTATCTGTTTGTATTATTCAATTGAACCCATAGAATGAAACGCCATCCTCCAGCACGTGGCGACATGCCCTGGAAAGCCATGTAACATATTGATGCAATTCAACATTGGCTCGGAAGAAACGATTCTTCGCCCATCAGCCTCTATTTTCGAGAGTCAATGAGGAGCAGGTCTGTCAGTGACTTCCAGCGAGATGCCCGCCGCTGTGATATTGCCTGTTCACATGCGTGAATACACACAGCCATGGAACAAGATCATCGGCCAATGTCTATGATTTGCGACGGTGTAATCCTAGCAACCTGACACATGTATTGGCAAGCACCTCAAGATTATATCATTGTGCTTGTTGTATCGAGAAAAGGGAGCCGTGATTACCGATCGTGGGTATGATTGCAGTATGATTCCGGATTCCATGAAAATCAGGGATTGATCGGAGAGCGTGGACTTTTTAAGTATGGCGAGCCCAAATGTGGATTCTCTGCGGTTCACCTGAGAAAGCAGCCTACTTTGAATACATGGCCAGCTGGTGAGGCGTGTCTACCCTCGCTCAATTGGTGGAAGAACCAGCTGGGACGCTGGCTGAGAATTAAATGTCTTTTGAATCTTGTGGGGCGTTTGGCTCGTGGCGGTGAACTGATTGACTCGAGCGAGATGAATCTTTGGTTACCAAATCAGGCCGGGTGCAAAGCATCAACAAGACGGAGAATAGCCAGAAAAAGACATCCATGAATTCCATGAATTGTCTAATAGTACTAAATGCATTAACAATGCGATATTAAGCTCCTTCATCCGTTGACTCGAGCGAGATGAATCTTTGGT